AACAAATAAACAGAAAATAATAATGAGAGAGAGAGAGAGAGAGAGAGAGAGAGAGATTTTGAAATGTTTATGGAGAAGAAGGAGAGAAATCAGAATGAGTACCATGAATTCGTCGAGCTCAGGATCGACGCCCAAGCACGTGGTGACAGCGTGACGGTTACAAAGGTCGCTTTCCTGACGGATTTCCTCTAACATCTGTGCAATCTCCGGAGGCGCCCCTACCTGCGCGCAATAAACCCACGCAACTCTCTTCATATTCTCTTCTACTCACTCATAATTCATGTCAAAGTTCACTTGATTACTTCCAATTCAAAACAAACTCATAATTCTTCCCGCAGTTTTCCCCCCTTTCGAGGCCGAATTCGGAATTAGGTAACAATAATTACGCTATTGTGTAAAGCCAAAAAAGAAAGAAAAATAAAATATAGGGGACAAAACCTGAACCCTGGCCAGGTGAAAAACCGAGAAAGAAAGCGTTTCTAGACTAGTAAATAGGCGATTTCTCTCTCTATCCTAGTTATACGTCTTCGTTCACAGTGTCTGAGAAGCATTTAAAGCCGAGAAAGTTCTATTTTCTGGTAAAATAAATTTATAAAAAAAAAGAAATAGCGGTAATTATTAAGAAAGAGAAGAAGATTAGGAATTAGGATTTAGGATTTTATGAAGGTAGCTGTGCAAAAGAACAGTAAGAGTGGACCGCTTTCTTTTCTTTTTTTTCTTCGTTTGGTGTGTGGTTGAGAGTTGAGAGAAAGAGCGGTGTTCACCTTTTGGCAGTCAATATAGGCATGGAGCAAACGAGGATAAGAAGGATGAGAAGAAATTTTGGCTTTGATCACGTTGATGAAATCGTCTTCACGTTGAATTTCGGGCGTGATCGATGCCGCTTCGGCTTCCGATATCGCTGAGGCTGCCGCCGACAGCAATTCGTTGGATCCAAACACTGGAATCCGATCGCGGAAGTCCCCGGACGACGCCAGTAAAGTCTGGTAATCCGGCGGCAGAATCAGATTCTCCGGCGACATCAACGCCTTGTCCGAATACTCCGCCGTGGATTGCAGTCCGTACATTTCTTCCATAGATCAGGTTGCAGTTGCAGTAGAGAGAGAGAGAGAGAGAAATGGTCGGAGAAGGAGGCGAAATTTAATGATAAAGATAAAGGAAAAGTTGGAATAAAAATAATTGGAATTAGGAAATAGGAATTAGGAGAAGAAGAGAAAGAAGGATGGGGTTTGCCGGAATTGGGAGTGGCAGAGGGGAAGTGCAGGCGTTCTCGGGTAGTGTGTTTTCCGGAGAACAAACAACGAATGAGATGCTTCTTGTTATTGCCAAGCGCCAGGTTTGGTTTCGCACTGTGCAACCCAGAGCTAAGATTAGAGAGGGAGCCACTTTTTTTTTCTTTTCTTTTTTTCTTTTTTCTTCTGGACACCACCTTTCCTTTTATATATTATTTTATAATTTAATTTAATTAAATTAGCAGCACTTGCCAGTTTTTATTTTTCTTTAAATGCATCCATTATTTTCTTCCATTCCATTTCCAATATTAAATTTCCTAAATTTAATTCCCTAATTGTACCTTCTTTCAATTGTATCCCCCGGGTGGAGTCGAGTACGGTGAGGAAGGAAATCCCCTCATAGCTTATCCTAAACTGGATTATAATCAAAATGTTTAAGATTTTTTAGCTTTCCTTTTAATTCTCCTCTCTTTAATTTCTAGAATTAAAATATATTATGTTTTTTTATGTTAACTCTTTTATAATATGTTCTTATAATTTTGGTACCTAATGTGTGTAAACAAATTCCACTTGGTTGTTAAATTTATTATTGTTTTCCCAACATTAGCAATTCAGTAAGTGACACCTATATTCTCTAGGTTCGACGTTCAAAATTCGTATTTTACATATTTGTTAGACTAAAAGGAATAAACTTTGTTGTTAACTTTATTAATTTCATGTTTCACCTCAAGATTATTAATTAATATATAATTATGTAAGTGTTTAATGAACTAAACAAGGAATACTTATTAAACACAAAATGAAAATTCCCTAAACCTAAGGAAGATTTTTAGTCATGGACTAAAAACTAAAAAGACAACCTGAAAAGTTGAATAACCCAGTAAAAAATTATACTTAATAAATACATAGAAATTTAAAATTTTAAAGATCAAATATGTAGTTCGGGAGGTTTGAATTAATTGTCACACATGCATTTGTAACACTATATTTTGGAAAAGAAATAAATGTATCTAAAAGCATTTATTTAATCATTTTAAGTTTAGAAATGGCAGGATGGAGTATATTGAATCATAAGATAGTAATTGATATTTCGTCTGATAATTAATTGTTTTCATGTTTATTATTATAGTGGCATTGGGAATGTACTGTGGTTAAAGGAGGGGCTCAATATATATAATTAAAAAGTCTAAATATTATATATATATATTTTTTACTTCAGCGACATATAAGATAGAAATTACTTTTCTATGCGAAATAGGTCCCAAACGAAGCAATAAATCTCCGTCCACATTTCCCACAACCAAGATGGGATAAAAAACAGGAACAGAAATCCAAATATTTGCATGTAAAATGTAGAATACATCGTTACGATGTTTACGTTTTAATCTTATTTATATTGATAATTTGAGTCGTCAATTGTAAATTTTGCGATTTTATTTTTTATAAATTAAAAGATATATTTCTAAGAAATTTAGGGATTTGCGTGTGGATGGAAATGAAATGGGTGGAGGCAAAGACGGTCGTCTCTGTCTCCATTCCACTCCGATAATATTTTTAAATGAAATTTTAATCTATAATTTTTTAATTTAAATTATATATATTAATCCGTTGAGATAAGTTGAAGTAAAAAGAATGGTACAAAAATTATTAATTTCATTATTTGAGAGAAAGGGGGAGAGAGGGAGGGGACATGCAGCCATGTGTGCGTATGCATTTTATTGGAACTCGTAGTTGTCCTCACAGCATGGACCTTTTAAAGCAATCCGTATCTTTATCAAATAACATCATTTTTTAACTTATTATATTTATATATAATCTCCTTTTTGTTCTTTTACCCAAATATATATCATCCTCCTTCACCCACTATTTGCATATTTATGAATTATATATTCATAAAAATATTTAAAATTTTATTATAGTTCTTGATTTTTGTCTGTGTATTTTGTTTCAAATTTTAAACCTTAGATTTTTTAAGTCTTTTAATTTTTTATAAAAATATATTTTACTTATTGCTATTAATTTTTCTTCAAAGTGTTCCATTCGTAGTTAAATTAGAAATATTAGATCAGTTTTTTTTTATTTAACACCAAAATATATGTTGTTAATAAATTTCAAATAAACATATTCCACCTAAACGAGCAAGATAATAAAATAGTTGTACAGTTCACCTGAAGATTGGCATCGATCTTTAATTAAAAAACTGTGAGTTCGAATCCAACCCTTCATAGTGTACTAAACGAAATGAACTAGTAGTAAATAATTTTCGCAATAAAAATTTGAGAGAGTAGAAATACATCATCAAATACATTTTTTTTCTTAAAAAAATTACAAAATTAAACAAAAAAAGGCAAATAAAATTTTATCGATTTATTTTCAATATTTAAAATTTCAGACTCGGACTCAACCGTTTAATTAAATTTGATGAATAATAATTGAAAAAAAATCACGTGTAACAATCAATTATAGCTATAGAAAATAAATATAATTGAGTATCTATAATTCCAAATCGCGAAATTTAAGTTTAGCAATCTTTTTTAGGAACAGCCTGTCCCCTAGAAAAATTTCATAAAATCCACATCTACAAAATTATGATTATGTTATAAATTATAAACCAGATCGGTTGAATTAAATCACAAAATTCGCAGAAATTTTTATGTGCAATCATAAATTGTATTAATCACATGATAATTTAAAATAATAATTAGATCTGTAATAAAAAAAATATAATAATAATTATTATTATATCATGCACAATAACATGTATTGAATTATTATAGTCAAATATTGTTAAAATAAAAACAACTAGTAAATTATATTATCAACCATCAATCATAAATCATTTGTGAGTTAAAATTATTATTGGACGCTATCATTTAAAAAATAAATAAATTCAACCACACATATATTTTTTTATATTTATGAGTGTCTGAATCAACTTACGCGCATCTCGACTACCTTCATAAAGTAAAATATAAATATATATACATATATATATATATATATATAT